GAGATTGGCGACAAGTGCCGTGTGTGCCTTACCCTCGAAGAAAGAAAAATAAAGGGAAAATGCGTATGTATGTGTACCTCGGTGTGTTGAGGAAAAGCGCCCACGCACAGAAAAAAGGCACTCACAGTCGTCAACCTACATGTGTGTGCAGCAACGCGACTCTCACAGTCAGAACAAAGAGAGCGACGCCCACCGTAACCCACAAAAAACATAGGTGAAGAACACGGTCGAGTGCAGCGGATGCGCCACGTAACATCGTCAGGAGGATGCAAAAGGATAATATATATATGTATATATATATACATATATACAAAATAAAGCTTCACTCGTGTTCATCGAGTGGTATGAAGTTTTGTGCACCCAGCGCAACAATGCCTTCACATGGAAAAGAAGAATATGAAAGCCCCAGGCCCCAAAACAAAACAAAAAAAAAAACTGCCGGCGAAAGAAAAAAATGGGCGTGTTCGCCGGCAGTTAAACGCCAAAAAAACAGCAACAACAAAAACCACACGGGCATACACACAGGCCGCAGGAATAGCAACGACAATGAACGGAGCAAAGGACGCTTCATGTGGAAAAGCTGTAACTTATTATCATCACCCCACGTGTAAACTTTCATGGCCTTTCGCCTCAGTATTTGAAATAAGGCAAATAAGCAAGAAGAGACAAATATAAATCCAAAGAACTGACATGAACATATATATATATATATGTATATATACAAAATAAAACAATACAATAATTCTCTGTATTACAGGGTAAACTCATCGTACACAGATACATACATACATAAAACAACGTGTACTTGTCTAAGCTTGTTAATTTATGTATTCCTCATCTTGTCACTTCAAAAACACTGCCAATCTCTTTTTTGTTTTTGTTTCCCTCGTTTGATAGTTGTAAGCGCCCATAAGCAGGAATACAGAAATAACACAAACAGTTTTAGTTTACTTCTTATCTTCGTTGTGCGTGTACGCGCATCCTTCTCATTATTTCCCGTGTGTGTGCGTACAGTTACTCTTGTGGATTCAAAGACATTCCTCCACGCCTTCTTCCCCTCCTTCCTCTCTTACCCTGCTTTTATTTTCTCTTAATGTGTCTCACATCAATCAGTGACAACGACAGACCCTGCCCTCACAATATTTTATGCGTTTGCTTCTTTTGGGCAGATAAACAATCACACTGATTGCTGACGCACATGCAGGCGAACATACAAAAAAAAACAAAAAAAAAACAAAAAAAACAAAAGAGACCTGAATGTATATCCCACCGCAGCGCATACATGCGCACGAACGGACAGACTCCCATGCACACACAAAGACACAGAGAGATGCCTGCCAATATATACATGCGTGCGTGCATGTCCGAATTCACAGATGCACACAGATACTACTTCGTCAAATTTCTCTCTGCCAGAACCGTCACATCATCTACCACAGCCCCATGCAACTATTCCCGCCACCTCCCCACAGGGTGTCAACTACAACTCCACCAACTCACACTCACACTCTCAGTCTCTCCGTCCGTCCGTCAATCGGATGACCTCATCTGTTGATCGCTTCAAGACGCGTCTGTTTCCTGCGTTTTTTGAGAGAACCCTTCTTCATTTTCACGTTAGACAAACCACGCTGTGCCTCCATTTCCATGCGGTCGGACTGACACTCCGCAAGAAGCGTATGCACACGACGAGTGCCTTGCTGAATTTCAGCAATGTACTGCTGGCGGAGAACCTGCTCGCGCTCAGAAAGGAGGTCCATTTTCCTTTCCATTTCCAACTGTCTCCGTGCCACTTCTTTTGTCAGGTTTTTGAACTGCAGCGGACGCAGGTGCGTATTGGAGAGTGGAATAAGCATCACATTGATCACCTTCTGTGTGCTGTGAGGAAACATCAAGGGCAATGACTTGGTGTTGCCGCTATTATTATTATTATTATTATTGCTTTTGCTCAGACCATGCGTCAGCGGTAGTGACGGTTTCCGTGTCGTTGTTAGTGGTAAAGGTTCCGTCAGAGACGTTGGTGCTGCGGCCGTGTGAGAGTTCACGCTGTCTTCAGAACTTCCAGCGGTGTTCAATGGAAGCGGTGAAAAAAAGAAATTGGAGGAGCCATGTGTTGTCACCTTTGCGGTAACCTTCTTGTTAGCCCCCTTGGCATTTGCACAGAGCCGCTCGCCTGCGTAATATTGAAAGAATGGTGAGGTAAACGGCAATGGCATCTTCACAGTCCGCGAACTCAGTAAGGTGGGGCTGCGGTCTACAACTGACGGCGTCAACTCCTTTCCGCGGGTGTCCTCTGTTGAAAGATCGCCATCCAGTGGTGGAAGCGGAACCTTTTCCACGGATTTCCCTGTCGAATGCAGGATGTACTGTTTCACGTGAGACGCCATGCGGTCAAGCGGGAATCCAGAGAGAATACAGTCGCTGTTGGTTGAAGTTGCCTTTCTTGTCTTGGCAGAGCTGAACGTCGGCGGGATGGCAGGCAACTTCGTCCCAACATTGTCAGCCGTGGCTGCGGCAATATTATTACGATGATGGGGCGCCAGAGAAGGCAGCATTTTTGAGAAATGAGACGAATCCCGTAACTTGCTCATCATGGGACCTCCACTCAGTGGTGCAGTGGCGTACTGGAAAAAGGCTCTCTTCTCTGCTACAGGGTACTGATCACCAGTCCGCTCCACCGCAGCCGCTTCTCTCACAAAGTTGTTCTCCGTCTCCGTGTGGGGCGGCGAGGTTGCGGCACACGCCAACTCTTGGTGCATGCCCTCCGTTCGCTCTGCTAACTCTCTCAAAAGGTAGTTGACGTGCTTCGCGTAACGCCTAAACTCAAGCGTGAGACGATGATGCCCATTCGCGACCTCCACGTCCACATCCTCAAAGCTATTATCATTGTCCACCGCCGCGACGCGTTCCCCACTCATCGCAACGCAAGACGGCGGGCTGGAGGAATTTGCCAGTAACGGCGGTAGTGTCTCACAATTCAATTCCTCACGCGCGTCAGACGGGGAGGCCGACAATTTTGGAGGTAGTAAGGTTGCCAACGCCAGCGTAGACTCGGACACCGACGGCGTTGCGGCGTATTGTTCGATGTTCTTCAAAGGAACGCCTTTCCCTGCAGCGGGTGGCCGCGGCCACCCATTCACCCGCACGTACGTAGCCACCAGCCCACTGCACCAAAAGTAAAAGATGCGGTACAAATTCACCCGCATGGAAGCATTAAAAAGTCCTGCCACAACGTCATTTGGAAAACAGTACACAAAGACGTAATAAACGACATGCGGCACAACAAACATAAACGCAGCCAGAACATCATCTTTTTCTTCTGCCAGACGTTCAAACGCCCGACCAAATAACATCGCGAGACGATGAAAACAACGCTGCGCAAACTCCGCAAGTTCATATACTTCCAGTTGTATAACTCTAAAGGCATTTATGGCGTCAGTACACCGCCAAATAGTATTAGGGTCTTGCAACAATTTTTCACTGGCAACCTCCATGGCACTGTTACTCATACTGGTTCTAGATGAGCGTTGATAGCTTTTCCTCCTACGCTGGGGGGAGTGTGAAGTACGTACACCATCGTCACTGACAGTAATGCTGCCACCAGGGTGTGGTGGCAAATTGGAGACGGCAGGTACAAACGGTGGCACTTCCCCCACCACTTCCTGGAACATTGTCGCCGAGTCATGCATGAGCTGTGTTGAAGAGTAAACGCCTTTTAACAATATCCATTCCAGTTGGTTAATGGGTGGCAAATCTGCCTTGTAGCGAGGAAACGCTCCGCGAACGACGCGCTCAAGATTGACGTAACGACCAATAAGCGTTTTCTCTGCATGTATACGACGTATGTGAGCAATTATGTACCAAAAGTACACGTAAATAATCTCACGGCTCTCCTGAAACTCCGTAAGAAAGCGGCGAATACCCACACCACTTACTTTGGTCCGCAACTCACCACGTTCCTGGCTTAGGACGTTTTCAATGGCGACATCCACGGCGAGGGATCGGGGAAAAATGCACTCACTTCCCAATGATCCTGTCTTTTCATCAAAGCTGGGAATCTCTAATGAGAAGAGAGATTGGGCATCCTTCTTAAGGCGTCGGTTTCGCCCTTCACGCTCGGGTGCATGCAGTGATATGGAAACGTCGGATCTCCCGTCCCTTTCTGCCACTTTCCCGGAGTAAGGTCGCCCCAATGGGCTTGCGACCGAATCAGAGGCGGTTTTATTTATCAGTGACCGTGCCAATGACCCTTCCGTGGCGTCCAACGTACTTGTTAAATGCTTGACATTGCTGTTATTCCTCCCCAAATTATATCTCATTGCCTCGGCGTCGCTAGGCACGTTCTCACTGTGCCACGGCGTGAAGGAAGACAGTTTGAAGCCGGCCATCTTCTCTACAGCTGCCTTTGACAACAATGGGGGCGTGTTTAACTGACACCGCGTTAATGACGCGGCGGAACACTCAACCTCTCTATTCATAGATTGAAAGGTGCCGCCTAAACATTTTAATGGGAGAGGGGTTAAATCTGTTGTGCAACTCTGGCGCGACTCCTCCACACTCAACATAGGGTTAGGGTTGGTTGCGATTGGTTTTTGCTTCTCTGCATTGGAGGGAGGTGGCTCCGCAGGCCATCCCTTTTGTTCCCCATTACCTGCGCTCTCGGCAGCAGCGCGGTCACGGTCCAACCCCTCCACAAATACAACGGCTTGCCGCATCTGTGGCGAGGAAGAATCTCCCATGGAACCCCCCGACTCCTCCACCTTGCGTGAAGACCATACACCATGATCCACTTGCTGTGGGAACTTCTGTGCGCCGTCTTCGTATGCCGGACAATCACGCGACAGCATCTGTGGGAGTGTCCATAACGCAATTGGATTCACCTCTTTCAAACTAGGCAGGCGTCGGGATCTATCGCCCGACGGCGAACCATCTGGTACGACATTGCCCGCACGTAGTGACCCTCCCCCGGCTGTCCGTGTCGGAAGAGACTGCAACCGCCTTCCACTCATCATATGCTCTCGCTGGTTTGAGAACAACGGGGAACTGACGGCGCCACTAGCCTTCGGGAGCGGGGCTTCATCTCCCTGCAACTGCCTCGGAAACTTTTCCATCTTCATACAGCTGAGTGACACACATGCAAAGGGAAATAGAGAAGAAAAACAAAGACAGTCCAAATATATATATATATATATATACATATATATATTACACACAGACATCCTCTCTCTCCTTCCTATACCTTCCTTACCGCCAATGTCACGAGTGTGCACATCATAAAAAGAACTAAGTGCATACTACGGACTCACCATTTCCAACGCCACTTGTGGTGTTCTCCAACCCCTTTACTACTCCCAACTCTTCAGCTCTTTTCCCAAACCCAGTTTCCCCCGATAAAGACCACCTTTTTTTTTTCTTTTCTCCCCTCTCCCATTCTTCTTCATGACTGTGGTCACCGGCAGCTCTACCACCACCAGATTTTTTTTTCTTCTTTTTATTCCCCGACCCTCCTTGGTTGGTTGTTCTCTTCGCACTGTCCGTTTCCCCCTTAATGGACCTCCATGTCTCTTACGATGACAAAATTCACGACTATACAAGGACTGATTGACCAGCCATAGTTCCCTCCTCCCTGTTTCTGTGCTGTGCCCGCACTTACACTCAGCGACAGCATCCGACGCATGAGCCCATAGCGCCCACTACAAAGAGAAGGGTATAATAAGAAATGGGTGAAGGGCAAAGATCGCTTTGAGCCTACCACTCAGTTTCGGCTCGTCATGTGTCTCCACTCGGACTCGTCATGGTACTGCATGGCAATGTACCACGTCATTTTTGCGCCGTCACGCTTGACGACCGGCTTCCAGTTCCAGAAAAGCTCGTACTTGACATGCTTTTCACGCATCTCCGGACGGATCCACTGGTCCAAGTAAATGCCATCCTCCTCTAGCATGGAGGACATTCGGCTGTCCCACCACAATGTCACGGAAGTGTGGCCAGCCGGGCTCCGTTCCCATGGCACGGTAGCAGCCCCAGAGTGTGTACCATGAGTAGAACACCATGAGACTCCAGGCCATCCAAAATGTCGGTTTTGTGGTCATGTTAAGCTGCATGCCATACCGGCTTGCCATCTCATCCATTGTGCTTTCCCACGACTCCTCCGTCATGCGAATACTCTTCTCGCGGGTGTAGGGGTACTTTGGGTACTCAAACCACTCAATGTTGGGGGTTGAGGTCCATCGGAAGAATGGGCTCGTTGTGGGCCACGGCGGGGGCTGGGGCTGACCACTTCGTGCGATGTTCTTATGCTCTGTCGACATGCCGCGTCATGTGGTTATTGCTACGGTATTCAGTGATGCGCTAAGCAAAAACATCCACAGCACCGATAAACGACCTATGAAGCATTAAAACTAAAAACAACAACAAAAAACATGTGCTGCTATCGCTATAAAAAATGTTTGTGAATTGCTTGTGTGTGTGCCCCACTCTCAGAGTGTTTCTACAACGGCCTCCAGCGCCAACAGCGGCAGAAGCAGCAACAAGAAGAACAACTCCGACAGGTAAAATAGAGAGAGAGAAAGAGATAAATAAGTAGATATCCAAGGCATGCTTTGCGCCATTCCGTCCGCACACCATCGTGTGTCTTCTCTCATTTACCGCGGTCCTCTATCCTCCCTTCCTCCGTCGTCGTCTTCTTCGGTCGGTTGTTTGGCTTGAACCCCACCCTTCCCGTACGTTTTACTCTTGCTCTCTATCATTAAGTGTCACAGTGTACGCGCACTCCCGCACGCACTCGCATCAACTTGCCCAACAAAGTTACTGACCACTGAAATAAAACTGAGAGAACTCCCTTTGACTGAACCGCCCTCACCACCCCACTCCCCACGCCTCACCTCCTCTTCCTCAACATGCCGTGACGAGTTCACACGCCACTTCCAGAGCAGCCAAAGCAAAAAGGCAAAAACCAACAAAGTGTCAAAGATGTGGGAATGACACAAGACGAGAATACAGACCACAAACTGCACCACTCTCCCTTCTCCTGATCCATACACAAGCAGGTGCATATACATAAACTATTTTTTTTTAAAACAGCGTTTCATAGTGGCAGCAATACAGCTGACATCAACGACTTATTTTTTTTCCCTTTCCCTTCATCTCCCCATGTCTTCCTCGTCTGCAGTGTTGGCGAACCACACGCACATCAAGCACCTCAACCACTGTCGCGATGGAGCTAAACTTTCTCCCTTCTTTTCCTCAGAAGCAACAGTAAACAACAAAAACAAATGAATAAATGAATCACGTGCAGTAGCTGCCTCCACGAAACAGCATTCAAATTTCAGTGACAAAATACTCAGGGGGCAAAAACAGACGTTAAGGCGGCGAGTTGAATGCCATTCCTCGGCGCCCATCCGGGCGGTGCCCACTGCCGGCCCCCCAAGACACATCGTAGAAACTCACCCAATGCTTCAGGACGACATAAGCGATATGCTCCAAGGCGTTCCAGACGGAACTGTTGACCCGCTGCAGATGTGTCTATAACCCCAGCCAACGCTTACTGGCGCAAACGAGTAAATTTCCTGCACCGTCATCTCAGCCTCTGGAAGTAGATCTGCTCTGGAAGCAAAAATTAAAAAAATGAAACAGTCAGCCTCGCCGACAGCGTAAGTATCGATCAGGTGGCTGTAGGACGTGGTGTGCGTGGTTGCTGGGGCGCGGAGGCGACTCGTTGAGATTCGTGCGACCGCCCTCATCACACGCATCACCACATCATTTCCTTCGCATGACAGCGACAAGGTTGGAGTGGGGTGCCAGACCAGCTTCTGTGGAGGACGAAAGAATGAAGAAGAGCGTACTCGGCGGCACAACGACGGCGGAGCTAATTACTTTCTCCTCTATCATATCACGCGGTCACTCCAGCGCCGAAGCAAACTCACCACATCGTGTGACATCTGCACACACTACCTCCACCTTTTCCCTCGCCTCGCACAGTGTGCGACCTAACGCTCACACCAACTGTTGTGCCAGTGGTACGGGAGAAGTAACGCTGCGTTAGTTGCTGAATCATTGACTTTTTCCCAATTGCGTAACCTTCTAGAGTCGACAGTTTCAATCGGGGAAGATGGGGGCCTGTGTCTGCCTCCTCCAAGCCACGATGTCGTCACATAGGCCTTGCAATAGGAGTGATAAATATCTTCACTGGGGCACCTGACACACACACACACAACGCCGTGTTTTTCTGACGCCGCGAGTGGCAAATTAGGACACATGCACTTTTATGCGGTGATCGCCAGGAGGAGCAATGACAAAGCACGTGGCACCAACGAGAATCAGTGTGACCCACCTACAAGACACTCACGTGCTACGGCATTCCACATCCTCTGATTACACTTTCCTTCTTGCCTCCTCCTCCATCTCCATCCCCCCTCTCCCGCCAACGTGGTAGATGACATGACCTCAGCCTCAACCCCTTGTTTCTTTGTTTTTGCTTTTATTAGTTCTTGTGACTTTCCCCTGTCAGGGAGCGGGAAAAACATCTCCAGCAAAACGGCGCAGAGAAAAATGGGCGACTTCCAACCAAGCGATGCTGCAGCAAATGTTCCCCCACCCTCCCGCATGAATAATCCAAACGGATGCCACCGATGGAGATGACAGAAGCTGCCAGAAACCAAACGAAAAAAATGGGGCAACAGCAAGCGAGATATATATATATATATATTCCTGTGTCATTGAGTTAGAGAGTTGCGCGTTTACAGTCACGTCGCAATTGGCGTCCTGGAAGACGCTCTCGCACAGGTCTAAGCTTAAAAACACTGCGGCTTCTCTGTGGAGACGGGGGTGGGGGGGAGCTGGCACATATATATATATATATATATATATGAATTCTAAAGGCGCGAAGGGTTTGTGTGGGTGGGTGGGTGCGGGAGGGTACGAAAACCCTCTTCCACCATGTGAGCTTTCCAATCTTATATTTTCACGGGTCAGTAATCAACATCCATTATGTGTTCTCATCACAGCCGCCATCAAAGGCATTATTTTTTTCCTTTCGCTTTCATTAACATCAAGTGCTCATGGGCAACCGTCAAACAAATGACAGAGCCTCTAAAAGGCCCGCTGCGTCCCTCTTAAGACATGCAGCAACAGCCATCTCTCGCGCTGCCTCTAGTCGTGCAATGGCTTTGTAGTTCTGCTGCAACGCCTCCGTAAAGACGGCAGGACAAGACGAACACCCAACGTGTGGAATCCCACTGCTGTGCGTTTCATCACCCACATGAGGCCCACTTCGACGCTGCGCCGTGGTGACGGATCCTGTATTTTTACTGCTAGCTGCAGAAGCAGCAACTTCTGCCACCAGCCTTCGCTCTGCAAGCTCCTTCTTGACCTCCTCAAGGACGTTGAGAAGCCTCGGCGCAATGGTAACCCCGTCACACGTCAAATGAGACAATGTTGCTGCTTCCTCCTGAAGTTCCCTCGCTACGTCAACATGCCTCTGAGTAATGACGATCACCTCCCCATCTCTTCCTGCACTCTGGGCGACACCGCCAGTGCGCAGGAGGTTCCTGACGCCTTCTTCACACCCGTCCGCGGTTGGCGCGTTTGTGGCGGTCAGCACTCGCACATGGTTGTTGCCACCATCATCTGGGGGTAGAGCAGACCCAGAAGCATTGGTGGAAACCTCCTCCGTCTCACGTGACCGCTTCCGTGGCGAGACGGCGTTTTTCTTGACCACGTCAGCTGGGAGACCACTATCAGCCCCCAGCAACCGCCCAACTGATTCCACTACCGTACCTGCGTGAGGCAGCGGCGGCTTGCCAGATTCCACTGCGCCACGGAGAAAGGCTTGCACTCTGCGCTCTAGTTCTTCTATCTCAAGTCCACGCCGAAACGCCTCGGCACGGATCCAACGCCACATTTTCAACTCCTCCACAAACGCCTTGCCTTCCATCCATGCAGAGACCGTCATGTTGCCAACGGCCGGCGGGGGCAGCGGGGGCAGCGGCCGGCAGCCACCACCACCAACCCCGCAACAACTGTCAGCCACGTTCTTGTCGCTGTTGCCATCAACAGCGCAGGAACTAAGAGTCTGCACGAGGGAAAGCACACGCTTCGCGTTGAGGAACAGTGTCGTGGGGGTTGGGTTCTCGCAAAACTGAATGTCGTGCACGGAGACCACAGCCGACTTCCCAGTGATCACTGAGTCGCCCTTACATGGGGTGTTAAAGATCGCATGCAGAAGAACCGCGATGTCGCTCGCTGAAATATCACCAAAGACACCATATTCCCTGTGAAAAATCGCTGCCGCCCACTGAAGGATTGCCAGACGCGCATAAATGCTGCCCTCATGCAGGCGCGTCATTCCGCTGTTCCACGCACCCACAAACAAAAAACAAAACAAAAATAGGAGGAAGGAGGAACAAAAAACCCACCGCAAACCACACACACAGACACACGCAAAGAACAAAAAAACGACAACAAGGTCAAACCAATGAAAGAATCAAAGCAGCACATCAACCTACAAACACCGGGGAGAGAGTGACACGCAACACACAAAAACCCACACATCCAAACTACCACACACGCACAACAACAGAAAAAAAAAGTTAAGAAGAAGTTTCGGTGAATATGACAGTCCCAGGCATACACGCACATGCCCGCACAGCACTAGACGCAAACGTCCCCGAGTCCAATGATCTTCATATTTAACAAGTGCCCTCACAAGCGACGGAACACTTGTTTGGGCGACAGTCACAAAATCAAAACTCATTCACACCACAAACCAAACAACAAGCCAAAACGCCGCATGCACACATGTAAAAAAAAACACACACATAAAACATAAAACAAAACCAAAAACGAACAAATAACACAACATTGGACAAAAAAAACCGACCACTTACCGACCTTCATCTCACGGCAACGCAAGTAGTTGAAACGCACTAGAGCGTTCCTCTGGAGTGAAGCGGAGACACGCCTCTAGCACAGCTCGCAGCGTGTCTTCGACGTCTGCGGGGGGCGGCACCGGCTCCACCAGCCCATCGCGCAACGCCTCGCGGAACACCGCACTGTCTGCAAGCAGCGAGTCAAGTTCCTTCCGAGAGCGATCCGGCGTCGCAGTCGCACTCCACTGCCAGGGGTGGGAGTCTGCCAGCATTGCGAGCAGCAGCAGCCCCAGCGCGTACATGTCGCTCGCTGCCGTCTTCGCACCACCGGCGGCCACCTCGGGGCTCATATAGTACGACTCGTGATGCATCACCAGCGGCGCGGCACCTAACAGCATCCCCTTCAGTCGGCACCGCCCCTCCACGCCAACCATCACGTTCTCGGGACACAGCCGTCCATGGACCAGCCCGAGCCCATGAAGGTGCGCCAATCCCCGCAGCATCGACGCGACGTT